TTAAACATCGAGTAAAATAATAAGAAGTGTCTTTAACAGAGACAGATAAAAATGTAAGTTCAGAAATGTTTGTGTGTGTGTATATAAGTGTATACACACACACACCATATCCTATATTGGAGCAATGGTTCCTAAAGTTCTTGGGTCAACAGAACAACCCGTAATCTTCCTCAGGAATCGTCTTACATCCTTGTCTTATACTCAAAGAATTTATTGATTTTACTGATCAACATAGCAATCTTCAAGGCTAGGATGAGCAGTCCAGGCAACTACTTGCATATGGACATAGTTTGGTAGCAGTTGCTCTAGAATAAACTTATATAATCTTGCGCCATTTTCACAAGAACTTATACAAGCCTAAGAACATTTAGGAGAGGAAAAAATAGCCAAAAGGTCGGGGGGGGGGGGGGGGGGGGGCGGGGGGTCAGTTTGCAGCTCCACCACCAGCTTCCTCTATGATCTGGTGTGCTCTGGTCTCCAGCTCCCTCCTGTGTGTCTTCTGACAATACCACCCTCCAGGGGCAGCATGAAGTTAAGAAGAAGAAAGGGGGATCAGGGCATTCTTAATTACATCTCATGAGCACTTTTTATGCTTAAACATATTTTAGAATATAGTCTGCATAATTACATGAAGTAGCTTGAATTTTGCAACAGCAGTAGTGATCGTGACCTAAACTTGAGACCATGAACAAGTTGTTAACACACAGCCCTCCCTCTAAACTTTCATAAAAATCCTTTGTATTTACTTGTGAGACAAATTGTGGCTCTGATCCACTCTATGGTGATTTCTCTCAAGTTTTGCAGACACAATACTGACAGAAATCAACAGTAATGCTTATAGCGGTAGGCAACCAATAGATTTAAGAAGTTACATTTTGTACAATGTATGTTCCACTTTGCCAAAGCTCAATTTACAGAATGTCTGTTGTCACAGCAGTTTAAAGACTCAAGGTAGGATGGCATATCTCTTGCACCTATACATTATGAATTTAGCAACTTCCAAAAAAGACATTACACATGTTCAAAACATCATCTACAGATATGTGATGGAGGGTTAGTTGGATGGGTTGAACGAGCAGTGCTGAGAGACAAGAAATGTCCTTTTGCTTTCTGAAATACTGTCCCAAAATCAAAATTCCTGGTTAAAGGAAGTAGTTTAAAAATGCTGTAAAATCCACATACACACTTTGGCAGCCTTGCAAGAAAGTTAACTGCGATTAGAAAAAAAAGGTGAAAAATAAGTTTAGCAAACCAGTATGCAATTCATAATCTTCATAATCTCCTAAACAGTTGCCTAGATTGCAATCGCAAAACAGGGAGTCACTGATTGTTTGCTCTCAATATACAAACCCTTGATAAACAATCCTCCTCAGGCAACCTTGCACAAGGCTCTTGATACACAGTCCTCCACCTCCATACCATGCACTGTACCTAACATTTCAGACCTTTCATATCTATATATGGGTGTCAACATTTAGAGAACTGTGACAGTGATGTTAAAGAGAATGGGAAAAATGCAAAAGTCATCCTCATCCCATTCTGTCTTTCCCTTCCCTTTGAACACTCTTGCTATTGACAAGGGAAAACGGCAATCAGAACAACCAAGGAGCACCATGAGGAAAGCGACGCGGTGGGAAGGGGGGGAAGTGTCACAACTGTGCAGTGTTTACTGAAATCAATAAAATTGTCAGTTCTCTCACTTCTCTCTCTGAGAGAGGGAGGAGAAGGAAAAAAAGGAGAGAGAGAAAGATTCCCGGTATCTGTTTCTCCCAAAGCAGTAAATAATTAATTGGATAGGACTGTGTGGCTGGAGAAGGGAGGGGGAAGAGCTGAAGAGCAGAAGAGCCTCTCTCTGCAGCAGCGAGCTATCAGATGGCTCAGTCCTCCCCTGGAACCTCACCCTTAGGTTAGTTTAAATTGATGGCAAAACCCTGGCCTCAGCTGAAGAGAGCAATTGCATAGCTATTGTTTGAGGCTCTGATAGCCTCACAACTGCCGTAACTGAATTAAGACCACGGCACTTAGAAGAACAGATTGCTTTGCACCTCTCAGATTTCCACAACGCTATGGCTGCAGTTCTATAATCATTAACACCAAATTAGTTCAAACTACAAAGCTTATACAAATCAGACATCTAAATTCCATCAAATTCAGTAGAACCCATGAGACAGTTCAGGCTGCAGGAGGAAAAGTTAACAGGCAGTACCGTATCTGGACTAAAGCCTAGAAAAAATGAGGCCCACTCTTCTTAAAAAGACAGCGAGAGCACTTATTAGAGCAGCATTTTGCATCATGTGACCATTAAATTTTTCTTCCAATACTAGACACCCCCAAAACAGATTTTTATTCTATTATAAAACTTAAGTTTCAGCCACAGATAAAGCCGCAGATGAAGTAAAGGGAAAGAATCTGTTAAAGATTGTAGCTGATTACATGCACAAAACAAGCACAAAAAGCACCGTAGGAAAGAACACTGACCTCAATTATTCTATTTTTACAACCTCCCTTATAAAACTTTCACCTTAACCATCCAATAAACCTTCAAGACCACTATGCAATGCATTCTTTCTCCACTTAATCTCCAGAACCTCTCTCTGTCTTCAAAATGCTGTATTGCTTGGTGGCTGCATTAAGAGACATTAGTTCAACAGGGGAAAAGGTGGCACATGAGAAGACAGCTCAACAGGCAGTTCTTTGTACCGTTCTCTCACCGCAGTCCCACCCTCACCAGCCATTTGTTCCCAGTCTTGTATTGCCTCCTATTGACAAGGTTTGTTGCACAGCAAGGCTGTAAAGTGATGTAGCTGAAAAAAAGGGGGGAAAAGAGCAATATTTTCAGTTTACTTCATCTAGATCAGTTCCTCAACCCTTTGACTATACAATACAGAAAAGCAGGCATCACAGAGCACGAATGATTTAACAGAAAAGCCCAGGAACTGCACTAACAACACTACCACTAACACAACGTGAGGCATCTACAATAACTCGCTTAAAAACCAAGCCCTGTATATTGTGTCAGAAAATGCAGAGGATGTCTTGTCAGGAAACTGTCAACAATCTGTGAACGTTTAGCAGTTTGCTAATGCAGTTTTTGTACTGTACACACATACACATTTTATTCATATAAACCTTTTCCCCCAAAATGTCAATATTTAACTCTTTTAGTTCTGACATTTGCATGCGCAGTTCAAAACTGCCTATTCTGTTTCCCTTACCTTTCCTAGCTCCATGAAAGATAGTTACCACAGCACATCGCAGGTAGGTGCCAGTTAAAGCAGTAAGAAATTGTAACAAAGCAGTTCCATTATAGTGCAGATAGGCACCATAAAACAAACTGCCAATGCCATTTTAGTTAGGTATTTGTTGACTTTATTCAGCCTAATTTACTGAAACCTTTTTTCTTCCCAGTCACATGAACTATAAAAGTTTTCTTGAAAACAGGAATCAACTAATTATGACATAATAAGAATACCATTTAGTGGCAGACCACTTACTCTTCAGAAAAAACTGTAACTGAAACCGTGCATTTCACAGCTAAAACCTCACATATTTAAGTTTGGCTTCTAATATAAATACGGATCATATATTTTTTCATTAACTCATCAAACAGAACACTCACCACTATAAAAAGCACATTTGTTTAAACAACAGCTAAATATTTGGTATTTACATTCAAAAAATATAGGTGCTCAGAGAAGACCCCAAAGTAAATGCCAAAAAAAATTACAGTAGTCATATATATGCTGAAATCCTAGAAGGGAAAATTTCCCTGCTGTATCTCACCCAACCTCTGAAGATACATCCGTGCTGCATATTTAGCCAGGTTCCTGCTGTCTGTCCACAAGCAAGCCTTCGGCCTGGATTACAGATCCCGCCCAGCTGGGCTCGGAGAATCCTCCCTAGCCCATAGAGACGTCTGCCTCACAAGGCGAGCTCTGATTTCAACCTCTGAGAAGCACAGATACTAGACTAGTAGCTCTCTCTCAGTAAAGATTGGGGTTTATCGCTTTCTTATCCTCTGCTTCAGTTCAAAATCAAACAGGATATCTTAAAATATATGAAGTGAACCTGTTTGACTTTATCCTGGACACCATGAAGGAAATACCTCACACAGCTAGTATTGTTTCAGCTGGTAGGAAGCAACTGCTAAGAGTGCATGGTCTGCTCTCTCTCATTTGAGATTCAAATCCCTAATCTGGTCACAAAGTAGAAGATTAGTAAATCTGTACAACAAAGCTCAGTATCGGTCATAAAAGCAGCAATCTAAAAAGTATTCAGTTGTCCAGATCATTTTCTCTTCTAGTGGAAAGAGCAGAGGCAGAACTGCAACAACTCCAGAGAGCAGAGGATAAGGCAAGTACAGCAGCAGAGGGCTTGATTAAGATGAGGCAGAGTATGGCTCATGCACCTAAAGAAAGTTAAACGGGTAGAGAGGATTACTGTTTTTCACAAAGTTACGTCTATTCTAAGCAGTTGCTTCTTTCTCAATGAAAAAAAAAAAAAAACTGAGAAGCTGTAAATTTAATGGAGCATTTTGTCAGTTTGATTATCTCCTCAGAAGAAGTTTGCTTCCCCACAGGCCCTTGCTTGAAAGCAATCTGATTTGCAAACAAGCATGTAAAAATAGCACTGTTACTCGCTCCACAGGAAAAAACAAATTGTTAGTACTTATTCCTAAGAAGCTTTCCTCCACGACTCTCAAAAGCACTGCATATGCATTGAGCAAAATTCAGCCTACTGCATTAAAACAGTAAGAAACACAAATTGACTGCTTATTCCATTTCTGGGTAAAAACAGATGATGAACGTTCAACGAGTATTTTCCTCCATATTAATCAATTTAAAAGCAGTACTAACCCAAATGTTAGTATTTCATATTTGATACTGAAATCTAGACATATTTATCCTAATAAAAAAAAAGAATCAAGAGCAGCATCTTCTATTTTTAGCAGGAATGTTACCAACCTGATGAAAGCATTTTTAAGGTACAAATACAACTTGTTAACGGCACACAATTTAATAAGTTTTAATCTATACATCTTACCAAGTCTCATTAACTCTCAATGTGTGTGAAACAGAAGATGCACTGGTATATTCTAAACACCTTTGTAGCTTCTTTGCTTCACCTGAGCAACAGAAGAATCCTTTCTCCAACATTCAGTAATCAAAAAAAATATACATTTTTCCAGAAAAACTAAAATTTTCTATCAGGTTGATTTCTTCCTACAGTTTTTTAGCACAGTATAAGGCGGTATATTGTTTTTAAAAAGCTAAATCCTATTTCCTATGTTCAAGTTATCACAGCAAATATATCACAATTTCTGGGCAATTGCAGAAGGCAGATCCCATTCTTAGAAAAAGCTGTACATAGGTAATACTCTGTATCGATGAAGGGACCTTCAACAGGCAACACACTGCAGGACTGGTACTGTAATTATTTCCATCCTTGAAATGGATGGCTTTCAAGGTAACCAGTTCTCGGATCTGTCATCACATGTTACTGCCAAGTAATATGCAACCAACTGCAGCTAATCACAATATAAATGGCATCTGTTACGCAATCATGCAATATTTTATCCCATGTCCACATTGTAAAACATGAAAGACGAGTACCGGTTTAAGAGGAATATAAGGCTACTGAAAACACATGGAAAAATAAATTCTCACTTTACTGAAGTTTGGAAAAGGTTTTAAGCCAAATTTACCTTTTACAATGTGTGCACTGTCATTCTCTCAGATGGATAACAAAAGATTAGACCAGTTTTTACTTTCAACCATTTAGTTCCTACAATATTTCAGTTGCAAATAGTAGCAAAAAACATCTTTTTTAAACATCCCAGAACAAAAAAAAAAAAAATCACATTGACACTTCTGACACTTTGTCTTTAGTTTTACAGAAATAAAAGTTCATGAAGCCTTGATGGTGATTTCAGTGTATGATTCAGTTATAGGTTAAGAGCCTGTTTTCATTAATTACCAGATGTTAAAAGCAACACAGATCAGCACAACAAAAGTCAGTTTACAGAAGACTAAGGGATGCAGCCAGTTTACAGAACCCTGTGGTAAAATCACTGAAAGATAAGTTACATTAACAGAGACACAGTACAAAGACCACTTATAGATTATTTTTATGATTTCCTCAGCATTTTCAGTTTCCACATTATAAAAGATGAAGACTCTACCCCCTCAAGAAAGCAGATAACCACAGATACTTAGTTTATTCAAAGGCACTCCACTTTTTTTTTTCTTTTGAATTGGCTAGATATCAAGTTGATATTGCTTTCATCATTTGCTGGCCTAAGAGTCTCTTCAAAAGTTCAGGTAACACAATGATAAATTATAGTTGGTGGCCAACCCCTTCCCCCTCCCCCCCCGAAACATGTACTTATTTGGGATCTTTATTTTGTAATTTAATTATTCACCATTTTACAAAATTCCTCGAGTCTACCAGGCTAAGCCTTTGGCCAACTTTGACTTTTTTTTCCCTTTAACACGCTGTGCCTTGAGCTTCTTTTTCTGCCTGGAATTCATCCATATTGGGTACTGTCCATGCTGGTCTAGAAGAGTTTTTTTGTTTCTTTTATTATCTGTGTCCATTTTGCAGTCATCTGAAAAAGAAAGGTATTTATAGTCAGTAAAATACAAGAATCAGCTTCATAGAAGCTATTTCATTACTAGATTCACAAGCTTGATAAAAATATCTCTGCATATAACACTACTTGTATAGAGAGAGCTGAAGGCTTTATACATCAAAAGTGCTTTCCAAAACAATTCAACTGCAACCAGGAACTTCAACGGCTGATAGTAAATATGAAGAATTTCCCCTAAAGGCCCACGTCTGGTCAAAGCACCTTATTCTTCGGTCTGCCATCTGTTCCAATACTGTGTGTCTAAAAACATTGTGTGTGGTCTCCATCAAAAGCTGCAACCATGCAGGAAGCCATAAGCTTACTGAAACATATGTACAATTAAACACTTTTAATGATGTAATTTTTAAGATCCAAGAAAATTCTGAAAAAAATAAATTGAGTGGGAGATGAAGACAGGTAAGCAGAAGAATAGAGAAAAAAGCTGGAATACAATGAGAGTATAAAGCATAAGCCAGTGATGCTACATTTGTCTCAAATAAGTAAGCACAAAGATAAGTCTAATTAGAGGCAGAAAGAGAGAGTTAATCTCTAGGATCAGGAAGACTGTATGCAATATGGTCACTCCTCAGAAGGCTGTCTCCAGCTAGCTAACCCCACAGGAACTGCAACTCTCGGTGAAACAAGGGTACAAGCGGAATACCTTGTTCATAAACACAGATCTGAACTGTACTCTAGTAACTTGTTTCCAAACCTTCCACGTGCAACCGCAAAAGCTCTATCATGAGCTTTTACAGAGAGGAAAAAACCAAGACTTTGTTATGCCTGTCTGATGTTGGGAGACAAAGTTCACCAGGGTAACGCCAACATGCTGCTTCAATAGAGGAAGCGTGTCAGTATAGAGTGGAGCATGCAGGCAGTCTAGAGGAATCTGTACCCCAGAGATGCATTTAGGGAGCCCAAACGCTGAGACATGAATACTTTTAGTCAGCAGAGAATCAGCACAGGGGCCTACTGCCAGCTGGCACAACTGAAGGCCAATCTGGCAAAGGATAGGCAGTAAAAAGAGTCCCAGCTTCAGAGACCTCCTGAGACATCAGAGAAACACAACATGAGGCCTTCTTAATAGTGTTGTTTTCCAAATGTCACAGAAGGAGAGAGGGCCTGCCTCAGACCAAAGTGCCAGATGTTGTGAGCAGGGCTAACTCAGGGAGGGGAGGGAAGTTTGAGTGGATGGGGAGAACACAGAAACAGGCAGTGAGAACTGCTCCTGCTCATATAAAGTGCAATTAGTTGGCAGTTCAGAACTGAACTATTACACTTCTTTCTCTAAGAAGAATAGCTAAAAGATAGGAACCATGGTACCAAGCACTGTGAAGAACAAGCATCAGCATGAGTTACACAATGCAAGAAATTGTGAATGTAAAAGGAGAAATCCATCTCTCTCTCTCTCTCTATTCCAAACTGAGGCTTCCCAAACAAAGCAACAATCAACAATAACAGTCCACACCTATGAACCAGGTTGTATAAATATTGTTTAGGAACCCTTTGCCTTCAGTCAATTAATTCATAACTTCAAATATAGTTAGTGTGTTGGTTAAGGATTTCTGTCAAAGTCAGTCTATTCCTAAATATAAAACAGATATATAAAAAAAAAAACCTACTACCAACAACAAAAAAACCACACGCACACCACCCTAAGTGCCTCTACAGAAGCTGCTTCTCTGGATTCCTGTCCTATCAAATGAGCACAGTTAAACTGTGAGGGGAATTGGCTTTTGACCGCAAAAAAAGTATATCTCCACAATAAAAGCATGCTGCAACATTAACTAGACAAAAAAATGCTCTTGAACAAAGACTATCACTATTTACATAGTGCAACGTTTTCAGCATACTTTGCAATCTCAAGGATACTGTAGAAATCAGGAGCAGGAAGAAACCTACCAAATAGGAGGTCCAAGGACATAAGGAAAACCTATCAAAGAGGTAAGAGAAAGAGAAAGGGACAAGAAAAAAGCTATAAAAGCAGGAACTAGCAATGGATTCAGATATGATTATCATGAAAGATATCTGCATGCCCACAAAGTTTTAAAAACAGCTACAAAACTGTTTTTGAGTGAAGGCCATCATTTTTTCTAATAATCTAAACTGAAAAAAATTACGTTGCAAAAAATAGCCTGAAGTAACACAGGAAAATATCGCTTATGCACCTATACACTTTCTTAGGCTGGCAAAACATTCACCTATCAGGATGAAGCTTTCCCCGTACTTCAGTCCTTCATAACGTTTTGCAACGACGTAGACTTTCCTGTGTCCAGAAAAGGTTCATACTGAAGACACCTCTCAAAGAGGACACCACTCTCCATGAAATGTCAAAGTGCAGCATATTTGAGGCTGCTATTCCTCTACAGGAATAGAAGGCTGGGTGAAATTGGTCACTGTACAAAAGTTAACAGCAGACTTTGAAGGGAGTACAGGAATAATAAATAGCCAGGCATTTGCTTCAGGGTTTAAAGATAAAGGTATTTCTTCCAGCTTCAGCATCAGTGTCAAAAAGCCAGTAACGTTCCAAAACATTTTGGAACTCAAACTCAAACAAACCTGTAAAGAACAGGACATCTGGTTTACAGGACAAACTAGAACCACAGTCTTCTAACTTCCACATTCAATATAATTTACAGGCTCTTCTATTCAGCTTAACAACATTCCCAATCTTTCCCAATTCTTGAACCACTGACAAAACTGGCTGCATGACTGATAGTGATTACTAGTGTTATTTCAAATCCTTGCTGAGACAACTGAACTACCATGTCTCAACAGACCTCTGCATCCCACACAAAAAGCTTACATCAGCAACATTACAACAGCTTAAGTGACATAAGTTGGAGAAGAGAACAGGACTGATTTAGTTTGGACTGCAGTTTCAGCAAGGGAAGGTGTCTTTTATGATTCCTGTCTGGTATGTAGCAATTTAAAATTTGTTTCCACTTAACCTGGATCACTTCTTTGTAGACAACAGCCTATAAAAGGAACAGAGAGAAAGACCATCCATTTATGGATAATGCCATCCACTCCAATACCATGTGCAATGCAGCCTTAATTAGCATACAAAAACAGGGTCCCCGCTGCCCCAATAGTGAGATATTACATTTAAAAGGAAGAATCACTCCATCTTTCATAAAATCTCTGCAAAATGCTCTTAGCTTTAGGCCCAACTTTTATACTTTTTCTTTCCTCCTTAGACTGGAAGGGAAGTTGTGCCCTTTTTCTAGCTTAACAGCAAAGACGTAGATGCGACTGGAACAAAATGCTCAAGAAAGTGATGAATTCACATTCACCTGATGTCCTGACAAAGAGCTGTACATCCAGAAGCCGTCACATGCTTTAAATCAAGTGTTAACAAGCTCAGTCCACAAGCAACTGGACACAATACCCAAATTAAGTTGCTACATGACTAGACTCAATTTAATTCAATTTAATAGCATGTGTCGGCTTTAAAAGATAAAAATTTTGCTTTTCAAATCACTGCTCTAAATATTCAACAAGCAGAACTTTAGTCATGACGGTGAAAATCAGAAGAACAATAATAAGTAACACTGCAGGATGGCCCTGCCCCGGGAGGGCAGCAACAGGAAAAACTGGGGCAGTGCAAAACAAGCTAAGAAAAGGAGGAATAAAAGACGTCCTGGCACATAAAAAGGCAGGTCTTAAGGCAACCAGCGGCGCGCTTGACCCCCGGCCGGGCCACCCCAGCCCCCGCCGGGGCCTACGCTGGTTTCTCCGCAAGGCCCGGTAACTTCAGCGCCGCCAAGCGACGGCCCAACTCACCTCCCTGCTCGAGGACTTTCTGCGGGGGGAGGACGGTCGCCACCTCCTTGACCTCCTCCATGACCACGTCCGCGTTGGTTCGCAGGATACTTTTCAGCCTCTCCAGCTCCTTGGGCGCGTTCTTCTTCCTCTTCTCCGCCCGCATCTTCCTCTTCCATTTGCTCCTCAGGCTCTTCGCCATGTCCTGCGGTGAGGGAGCGGGGA